AAGCATTAGTAAGAATGGAGTCAGAAGAAAAAAGGAGTTTACTTATTTCTTAACTTATGACATGTAAATATTATGTTGACTCATCACCTACTTTGTTTTGTATTTCTGTACTTTTGACAGGACCCTCCTTTCCTTGAAGTAACACAAACACCGGTGTCAAAATTGTTGCAGAAAGTGGAGAATGCAAAGGCAGGAAGTACGATGAGCATTCCTAAGCATCATAGAAAGGTGGATTACTTCCCTATAAACTTCAAATAAAAACGGATACTGTTGAAGGGAGAGGGTCATACCCCATTATGTGGCTATTAGGGTTTCTAAAGTCTATTAGTTAATTGTCATTGAGAATATTTTGTTTTGATATCTATTTTCTAGATCCTAGAGGACGTAGAGTTAGGAAGAGATTCTCATATCTGTAGACATGAATTATCCTATCTATTGTACTGATTTCACACTAAATAATGAACCAGTGACTGCCGCAAAAGTCTCTGGTTTTCATCATCACAATCTACAGATGCCCTTGCTGCAATGAGCTAGGGCATGAGAAGTATTGCGGTGCTATTAATCAATTTATGATGGTCGGAGGTTAGTGGCTTACAATATACACTTGATGTACAGGTAACTCACCATGAATATGAAGTTGAGACTTCCAATGGAAGAACCGTTACAAAGCGAAGAAAAACAAGAAGTACTGTCATGTTTGAGGCATGTATCTAATTCTCTAAAATTGCTATCAAACCTACAACGATGTACATGAACTATAATGTTATATGAAATGGCTAGGTTTTGGAGTAGAGTACAGACTTTTTACAAGCTTAACGATGTTTTGTTCTTCTCTTTAATAGGATCCGAGAAAGCACAAGATACAAACACCAAAAGCAAATATGCCTGGGAGTTTTGTGAAGGTAATCAAATCGTCAACTTGAATTTCCTTTTATTTGGACATTGTTTATGCATATCATGATTATTTCAAAACATCTAGTTGCAAAGCTCTCATGACTCTGGGTTGTAAATTCAGCATCAAATTAATTCTTTCTCTGCCTTGCACCAACATTTTCATCTTCATATTCACTTTACTGGCCACCAGAAATGGCGCTGGTTAGGAGCATTGATGGTCATCAGTTTTGTGACTATTTTAAGTACTACTCTACTTTGGATTTATTTCCTTGTAAATTATTTTTTGTGGGATAATTTTTTTTATCATTTTCTGAGAAGAACAATAATTTTAACATGTATGTCCAATTATTTTGTGCTATTTGGTTGAGAATATCTGAGCTATTACATAATATTTTATTTTCATTCTCTGAGCAGACCACAAAGGGAGGAGGACATACTCCTCCTTCAAATATTGGTGATTTGTTTTCAGAAGGTTCTCTAAATCCCTATGCGGACGACCCATATGCATTTGATTAGAGGTATTTATATTCAATAACACGATATAAACTCTGGTTTTAATAATTCTCTGAATTTACTCTATTGAGTGGTTGGCACAAAGAAACTTTATTGGATGAATATAAACAAAATCTTACTATAAGAAAGAAACAACAAACTTCTCAAGTCAAATCCCAATGCTTGATAACGACAAGGTCAATTGAATCTAATGATAAAATACTTTCAAACTTGAAATCTTATATAATAAAAACACAATGCCCACGATGATCCTGAACTTATAAATTAAAACTATTAGATGTATAGTGAGCTGACTAGTCTGCAGCTCTCACCCAGAACCACGAGAAAAACACTACAAAGTTTTTAAATGTCAATTTTATATGAGCATTTGTTTGTTAGTGTCACATTATATATAATTCAAAGGTTCATTGGATAGTCAGAGCTAATTACCTGATCAATCATTTAATGATTTCACATTTTCCATGTTAATATATTTTTGTTCTTTTATCTCGACGCTATTGTTCCAGGCTTTCGGCAGAAGCACCCAACCAAATATTAGCCCTCATTCTCTGCAGTACAGAGCAGATCATCCCAACCAAACACGATTGGTTTGCATGACGCTATTGTAATTTTGCTGATTGCCAACTACGATGGGTTTGGTTCTTCGGTTGTCAGATGCATTTAATCCATATTTTGATTGGCCTATTGCGTGGGAACTGGGGAAGTATTATTACGTAATTTGTTTCTTAAGGTCATGAAACGAATGTCCCTGGATTTGACATGGCTCGTATACTATATCAATCTCTGAGCTTTGCCTCCTCTGGATATAGCTGAACGTACAGTGACCCCTAGTCACATGAAGTGTGTTTCAAGAGGTCGATCTCCTTTCTCATCTGGATTTAGATGTATGTACTATTCAAATTTAGTTTTATTTTAAGATTCAAACAGATCTTCATCCACGTGCTTAATTCACCCCGTACCCTTTTATCCTTCAAGCCCATTTTTGTTTGTGAGGAGTGACGCTGATGACAGGGTTGACCATTGAATTGATAGTGTCGTTGAAGTCGCATAAAAGATTGTGTAACTTCAGTGCATCTAACTCTACTGACATGGAAAGTTGCATTCATCAACCGACGCATTCAATAGTTGTAGCTGTTCCCTAGAAAAAGAAGTTCCAGCTGACGTGGGGGCTCTAGCATCCAAAATGAGTTGGGGATGTGGTTGATTCATAGAAGTTATGATTTGTGATTTTAAGTGCCCGTTTGGATCAGCGATTAAAAAAGCAGCTTATAGAAAAAGTAGTTTATGAAAAAATAAAGTTGGTAAAAGTTAAATTAGATAAGCTGAATTGTATTTGGATTGAAGTTCAGAAAAGTTAGTTTGTATAAGTGAGATTGGTAAAAGTTTGTTTGGATTATAGTTGAGTAAAAGTAAGTTTGGCTGAAAAATTACCAAAATGGGTATGAATTTTAATAAATAATGAAACATGATAAAAAATTGATTTCACATAATATAATGAAAGTAAAATAATTTAATTTGAAGAAATCAAATTTAATGAGTGAATTAAATTTTAAAATTTGAAAGAAATCATAAAAAATATTTTAAACATAAATTGAAACATAAAAAAAAATTGAGATCATATAATGAAGAAGTGAAATTTAATGAGTGAATTAAAATTGAGAGAAATCATTAAAATATTTTAAGTATAAAGTGAAACATGATTAAAAAAATGATAAGAGAATAAATTCAAATTAATTTTATATGAATAAATAAAATTGATTAAGTGAATTAAATTCAAAAACATTAGAGAAATGAGAAAAAAAATAAGGCAAATAAAAGCGAAACAAATAGTTAGTTAAAACTCCTATATAAAATAAACAAGGATTTAAGATAGGAAAAACAATAATAGAAATAAAATATATTATAAATTTAACCTCATCCCATACTTCTCTTTTTCTTTTCTTTTATGTGGTTTTTGGAAGAATTAAAAGAATATGCTTATAATATAGAGAGGGGGAAAACATAAAGAAGTGTTATGAATTTTTAATAAGGGGAAAAGGTGAATTTACTTTATATCTGTTTCCGTTTTTCCCTTTCCATTTTAGCCTTCCCACCCTCTTCAAGCGTTCAACGCTTCCAGCAGCACAAAGAAAAGCATATCATCAAAGGCCCACTTCCTTCTCCATTGATGATCAGCAGAGTCTCTCATTTAGTCATCGAAAACCTTCATGGCCAGCGCGGCCGTATGGAAGTCATCTTCGACGACATCGAATAAGGAACCATTTCATCATCGACACCAACCCGAAAGATTTCAGGGCTCTCGTTCAGGAACTCACCAGTGTGCCCCCTCCATCCTAATTAAACAAAGCCGTTGCAGTTTCTGGCTCACGGCGACGACAAAGCAGACCTCACGGTGACGACAAAGCATAGCTCACAGTGAGGACTGAAGGCGAGGCGACCAGCGGCGGAGAAGCGTGGGAGCTCTCGGTGAAAATGTGTGAAGATTGTGAAAGTGAGCTGGCTCGAGGGACTGAGGGAGGAAAAGGCATATGAAAGAGAAAAAACAAAAATTATCTGACATGGCAGAACGGCTTTAAGCTCCTCTGATATAAGACTAAGCTCCTTCTTGGAGCTTATTTTAACTGGGCGTTTCAGTAGCTTAAAATTGGATAAGCCCAGTAAACTTCAAACCTTACCAAACGCCCTCATTCTCTCAGCCCAGCTTAATTTAAAATTTAAGCTGCTTTTGGGACAGCAAACGTTGACCCAAACAGACCCTAAGTCGGGATGCATGATTGTAATCTTTTCATACTACCACTTTTGGTACTAATTATAAAAGCTAGTTAACTAATTTAAGGAGATTAAGGAAATAAGTTAAATTAGTTATTTGTGATAAATAGATATTGTCTTTTCTAAATTATCTTTGCTAATTAAGTGTATTAGCCAGAACTACTATTGTTAGAAGGATTACTTTAAAAAAAAAAAACTTGAATATAAGAGAAAAAATAAATTAGAGTCTTATATTCATAATCAAAATAAAAACTAAATACTCCTCCGGTCCTTATTATAAGACCCCATTTGACTTTTTATTTGGTCCTAATTATAAGACCCCAATCCATTTTGTCTCTTATATTTATGCATTTTTTTCCAAGATAATCCTTCTAATAATGATAGTTTTAGCCAATATACTTAATTAGCAAGGATATTTTAGGAATGACAACACTTATTTATTATAAATAACCAACTTAACTTACTTTATTAATCTCCTCAAATAAGTTAATTGAGTCTTATAATTAGGACCGGAGGAGTAAGACTTTATATTAAGGAGTGGAGGTACTGTTAACTTCTTAAAACGATCCTCAAAGCGTTTCTTGACTCAGTTGACTATTTCTACAGTCTGCCCCTTCCCACTCTCTTTGCTTTCGACCCAATAATCTGCAGCCGCCACGAGCTGCCACGTGGCAACCTTTCTCTGAGAACCCGCTTGCATTCCCGCGCTGGCTGAGAACGTGCGCATCAATATCATCACTTTTGTGTTTAACGATGGCGTTTTGGCGTCAACGGTCATTCGTTTTAAAAATATTTGCCTGTTGGACGCCGGTCGGCTCAGACAGGCTACGGAAACTGGGGCGGAGTGAGGGAATAATATTCGGCTGATCGCCAACAACCCCCAAAAATTTCATTTTCGAGGGAGATTCCTCTCTTTGTTCGCTCGATTCCAATTTTTCCTACTTCGAAATTTGGTCAATTCTCTTTCTCCAAGTTGTGGTGTACCTGCAGTCCTGGAGTTCAAATGGATTTTACAGAAACCAAGAGCTACGGCTGCAAAGTCAACGTTACTCTTCGTTCAACTATGCCAGTTGTGGGCTGCGAAATGAATCCGTCCGTGTCGGTCATATTGGAAGGGCCACTTCCAGTTCCATTTCACTCCTGTTCTGTCAATTTTAAATGGTAGTTTTTCTTTCTTTTATTTCTTTGAAGTTTTAGTTGATACTGAAACGAATAAACTCGGTAGACTTTAGACCAGTGCGCCACTGCCTAATTCCAAACACCCCCCCGGGGGGGGGGGCGAAAAACACGCATGGTTACCAAACTGGAACTTGGCATGTACATTGGATTTAGTATGTTCCAAAGTTGCATAAGGTATGGTTCCATCGAATGCAAGTATTTCAACTACCGGTTACAAATCACAAAAAAGTGAAAGATCCTGTTTATAAATAAGAGCATTGAATTGTATTGTTTAGTATCGACAGTTCGGAATCAGGCCAAAAAAAAAAAAGTATCGACAGTTCGGAAGACCTCCAGCCGCTGAAAACAAGAAAACAACACCGAATAAATTATAATCTCATGTTGATTAGTCGATTCTTTGAACTTGTGTGATATGTTTCTAAGATATCGGCTTTATTTTTACGGAGTGAGTCCTGCAAATTAATTAGGTAGAGAAAAGGTCTCACGAATTATGTTTGAAGGATATAATCTCGTCAATGTCAATTCAATTTTCTCTTCTATTAGGGTTTGTTGGTAATTTGTCTATTTCATTGCAGTCTCCTGTCAATAGGCCCTGTAAAGGCAACGTGCTTATGCACATGCCCTCGAGACTCTGTTGTGGTTGTGTTAAAGCTTGAAGTTAATATTTCATATACAATGATAATTTACCAAGGCATCAAATAATTTTATTAACATGGACTCCTGAATTATATTTACCAGCCTAACCTGATTATCTATCATGCTCTTGATCTTGCTTAACCTGAAAATATTAAACCTCCGTATTTCTAGGTATAAAGAAGCAAAGATTTGCTCCATACATGATGATATGTTGGCTACCATTCAATGCGTGTCTTGTGTTAAATTGAACATCCCGAGGAAAGAGAGTTACCATTGCTCCACAAAATGCTTGCTGAATTCATGGCAAGCACATCAGCAGCGCCATCATTTTGAAACTGAAAGGAGGACCTTAACTGGTGAAGCACAAACGATGAGAAAGCTTAGAAGTTGTGGCTCTTGGCTAGAGTTTGGTAGTGAATGTTTAACTGATGAGGCAGCAATGGTGGATGGAGGAGGAAAAGATTGGTTTTTGGTTAGTTGTTCAAAAAGTTATGTGCCTGAAGTGGATGATGTTGGATCCATTTTGAAGCTGGATTGTGTAGCTGTTGACCTTTTGACAAATACTGCTTTGTCCGAACTAAATGAAACAATGACTAACCCTGTAATCGAATTTCCTGTGGCTCAGCCTCGCTCTATGGTTCCAATTCCACTTCTGGATGAATCTTCAAGTTTGTGTTCCACATCCTTAAACGATTTTACTTTTAGCATTCTCTCCTATAACATACTGTCTGACATTTACACTTACCAAAAGTATCACAACTGCCCCACATGGGCTCTTGTATGGGAATACCGCCGTCACAATTTGCTCCGTGAAATCATTAAATATAATGCAGATATCATTTGTCTTCAAGAGGTTGGCACTTTTGTCTTGCTACCTTTGCTTTGTTGCTTTAACCTGTATTTTGGCTTCAATGTAAATTTTGCTGTAATCCAGTCCTGTCCGTTATGTAGGTACAGAGTGATCATTTTGAAAATTTCTTTGAATCTAAGTTGACAGAAGAAGGATACATGGCTATATACAAGAAAAAAAACAACGAGGTAGGTCACCCTCACTTGTGTGTGTTTTGCACACACAATTGTTAAATGATCAGATAGGGTGGAAATGATGTTGAAATTTTAACAGATCATAGAATCTGGTGCATTCATGTCATTTGGAATTTTAATCTATCAAAGAAACAAATCTTTTTCAGCAATCTAAGTTGTCGCTACATGCATCAATTTCTACTGATGTCTCAAAAACTGTTAAAGGTACGTGTAATGTATCAATAGCTATTATAATTCTCACAAATGAATTATGAGATTTGGTTCATGGCGTACAGATTTATCAAGAGTTGGAATAAGGAAGAAAGGCTTGGTAAAAATAAATGGTTGTGTGTATGGTCATTATTTGTACTTCTTGTGAACCAACTGACATGAAGTTGAGCTTACATGTCAGAAGTGACTGTAGGTTTGTTGAGATCATTTTTTATTCGTTTTTTGGCTTAATCTAAGGATATCTAATAAAACAGAGAAGTTTGCTTTCTGATTTTTGTAATGGAAAACTACCTCTTTCTGGGTTTGTTTTTAGCCCTGTCATGTTACATGATGTATTGTATTGTACTGCGAATATTTTTATTTCAGAATGAATGGATTGGATTTGCATATTCAACTCGTTGGAGAGGGAGAACAACAGGGATAAGGATGTCTAATGGATGATTTTTAAAGTGGAAATGCATACTTTTGTCATTGTGAAGATCGCAAACTTAGAAGACTTAGTGCCGCTTCCAACTGCATTTGAAGTTATCAATGTTGTATTAAATGCATTGCAGGTTTACACTGGGAATCAACTTGTCACTGATGGGTGCGCAACTTTTTACCGGAGGCATCTCTTTAAAGAAGTTGAGAAACATGAGGTAAGAAGCGCTGGATTGTTCATTTCTTTAAAAATTAATTTGATTATTTTTTCTTCTTCTTCTTTCTTCAGGTTGAATTTATTAAGAAAACATCACCTGTAATTGAAGCACTGGAACCTGATCTAAGGAGTGAAGCTAGTAAACACCTCATGAAGGTAGAAGTTCCTCACGGGCTCCCTTTTTGCTCTCTATTTTATCTCTTTGGTTTTTCCTTATTATTCTTGGTATTGAATCTGACTTATCATCCGAAAGGGTCCCTTTCGGGTTTTGGATTTGGCAGAATAATGCTATTAATTTTCAAGTTCATTCTATAAGTACTCAAGAAAAACTCATAAAATTCTCTATGATTTCCTTTTTTCCTTTGGAGTTTTTTATCAGTATTTTATATTTCCAGTCCGATTTTGTTTTAACCAAAAATAATGGAGACCTTAGTCAATTTCATATAGCTTCCAGAAGAAGATTTGTTGTTAGAAAGCTATCCACAAATAGATATGTCTTTCAGTGAGAGAAGGGGCCGATGGAATTTGAGGACACTTACCAAGAGTCTAGTTTTTTACGTTATAAAATGTTAGCTTTCAGGGGGTTGTTAGTTAAGTGTAATGGGACTAAACTGTAAAATCTTTAGCCTCACATTGCTTTTTTCCCCCCTATTGCATAGCCGTTTGTTCGTTATAGATATAGTACAACCCGAACCTATATCTTTGTGGTTTCCGTATTCTCTCTCTCCTTTTTTATCAACATACTTCAACCAAAGAAAGAAGAAATGTAATTCTCTTTCAAATTATTTTTTCTGTTCCAAATAATCTGTTTGTCCTATATCCAGTTCCTTGTTTCTCATGATACGCTGTAACATTGTAGAAATTTTGGTATTGCAGGACAATGTAGCACTTGTTGTGATTTTGGGAACCTTGGAAAATAGCTGCACTAAATATGCCGCCCAATCTAGAATTTGTGTGGTACTGGATATATTATATTACCTGTTTTTCATTTCACTAATATTAATGGTCTGACTGCTGACACTTCATTTTGTTATGCATCCCTAGGTAAATGCACATATATGTTCAGATCCAAAACTCCCTGATGTGAAGTTATTTCAGGTGCTCATCATGGAGATTCATCCTCAAAAACCTTTATTGAATAATTTTATGAATTATCATAACTACTGTATCATCTTTTATTTCTTCGGGCAAAGGTTGTAACCCTAGTCAATGAGCTAGAGAAAATGCTGCAATCAGAAATACCTCTATTAATATGTGGAGATTTCAACTCTGTTCCTCAAAGGTTAGTGTCCAGCGAAACAACTTGCGACTAAACAACTTTTTTTTCCTGCTTAAATTATGTGAATGGAAGTAACACTAGAATCCAGAAGAACCTAGGCATTTTTTCCCAAAAGCCTATCTTGCTGGCTTTTTCTTAATGGTATTAATAGTTGTCATTACAATTCGCGTTACAGTGATCCCTACACTTTCATGGTTAATGGCAAAGTAGAAAGCAGTGAAAGTGTCGATCCGTATGGTGTATATCAGCATCTTAAGCTTGTTCATCGATTTTTACTCGTAAGTCTCGTGTTTTCACTCCCCATGGTTCCAATGTATCTCTGGACTCTTCTTTCCGAAGTTGAGTTTAATCCTTTACAGGCAAGTGCATATGCAAGTTTTGGTTTGGCGGCTGCAATGGACGAAAGACAGTTAGGGAAGTTTAACCAAAAAACCAGGGAGCCTGTATTAACCTTCCGCTCAAAACGATTCTCAAAAACCTTAGATTATATTTTTTATACAGGTATGCTATATATTTTTTATACGGGTATGCTAAACGCTCTGTTGAAATTATCAGTGTTAACCGGCCTATTTTTCCAATTTTACCCCTTTAATATTCTTCAGATACAATAAGCCACTATGGAAGAAGCAAGTTGTAAACTGCTAACAACTTTAGGACCCGTTTGGTAACATCAACAGTTAATTTTGCTTTTTTCGTTCCCCCTAGTTATGCAACTTTGTTTAGGCTATTAGATGCATTTATTTACTTCTAATTACCACTTTTATTTCCTTTATTTCACAAGTGTGGTGTGTCTTCCTTTTGTTTTGGCCATCTCTAAATCTATAAGCACATTTTTGGAATAACATGACAATTTGAACACTCGACAACCCTGATTTTTCTGTTTTTCTTTCTTTAAGTATCACCATGGACTTCCAAATCAACCTGTAAAGTAAACAGGTCCTATTAGGCGAAAGAGAGAGAAACCAGAAGGATTAACTAACCAATTTCTCCGTCTAAATTGATAGGAAGTTGTACGGATGAAATTCTTCTAGCGTAATGTGATGCTACTCATGAGCTGCATGTATGGCTGGGATTGACTTTTAGATATCACATTGAGAGCTGTTCAAGGAACAAGAGGTTTAAAGGAACACGGAGGTGGAAAATTAGTAGTGATCTTTTTTATGGGGGATGATCTTGTTTAAGGGAATGAGTTACCCTCGATGAAGTGAATAGGAAGAATAGATAATGCTCTGTCAGTGAACGATTATATGGCTATGTAGATAGTGGTAGCTTTTGAATCCTTCCCCCACCCCCCATACTTGAAAATGTGTGTTGGTGTTTGATCTATGAGGAGGAATGGGCAAGGAGTAACTGTGCATGCTGTTATATTAGATATTATTTGGATAGATATAAAAAAGATCATGCCCTACTTTGGGCAGGACGTCTTTGGTCCAGTAGAAAATGAGTGTTGTCAGCGGATAGAATCGATTTCTTTCATTTGGGGTGGACTCTGTTCCACAAGTCTCTCATATTATGGTGAATTGTTTGGCATGCGATTCTTATTTTTCATCTTTTTTCCAAGAGATCTCAAGTCATGTATTGGTATGTAATATACTTTCCACTAATAAATGTCGGCTTTTGATTTTCTCGGACCACTTTTCATTGAGTTCCCTAAGTGGGACCTGCAAATTAATTCAAAGCATCGTTTGGTCACTACGTAAATATGTGCTTAATTGTATTTGGCACCTCTAAAGTACTTTAATAAGGCGTATTGAGAAATGAATCTACGGATTACCATGACTCTTATACATTAAAATTTGCACCATGGATATTCTCACACTTGGTTGTGCATGTTCCCTTTAATGGAGCTGAGTTCTGAATTATGTTCCATGCTGAAACCATTTTATCATTGCTGACCTATAAAAAAAAAATCCATCATTAACTGCATAAAATGCTTCTTGATAGTGAACAGTTTGGAGGTTGAAGCTGTGCTGGATCTTCTGGATCACGAAGATGTCGCTAACGGCCTTCCCTCACCCCTTTGGTCATCAGATCATATCGCTCTCATGTCAAGTTTCAGAATCCTACCCAAAAACAGTCCTGCAACTAGAAGCGAGCAAGAAGGCTCTGCATAGCTATTGCCTTGAAGCGGTTGAAAGTAGATAAAAAAGTTATTAGCGTCGTGTTGTCAAAATAATATGGATCATTATAGTTCGACATCTTTTGTTCTTATCAATATATATATATATATATATATATATATATCCTTTGCTATTTTTTCAATCGTCTGATTTATAGCCCCGTGAAATGGGGTTGATATCTTCTGGTTACCTAATAAAACTAAATCCAATTCATTGCTGTGCATTTTCTGGCAAGAATTCACTGTGAAGTTAAGTGTAATGAAAATATAAAATAATTACTGATGACATAAATATCAATATAATGGAATTATCATTGTTAGAGTGATTAAGTGCAATTTCTTGTGTTGAAATTTTAGATGAAGCGTTCCAAATATTGATGACTTGGTATTTCTAGCATCCAAAACGAGTTAGATGGTTAGAAAGCAGAGAATGTAAATGAGCTCGGGCCTTGAGGCTTCACTAGCATTCAATTTGCCTTAAAGGGCGATGGAAATGTACAAAATACGTGACCCATGTCACAGATTTTCATCTGCTCTCATTATATTCTGTATTCACCTTTGAGGCTCAGTGACCATCTTAGTCAATAGGTGAAATTCATAGCCTCACTTTGAATTATTCTTCAGTTATGAGAATCCTAGGGAACTTCGGTTTGCAATATATGGTGTTTATTTATGCTTCTGTAAAAAACGGTTGAGTTTATAGAATCTTCTTTCGAGATTTGACTGATTATTATTGTTGCCGGAGCTTCGAACTACAGAAATACCATAGTAAGTGATTTTCTGGGGTGGAATTAAGAATTAAACTCACTTCATCGAAAGGATCTGCTACACTGTAATGGTTCAAACCTCAAACTGCAAAGTGGCCATTTTAAAGGAAACTGGTTGTTCATTCATGGTTACTAGTAAAGAAAACCACAACACAAAATTTCTGTCACCTTATGAAATACGCTGTTACGAGTGAAGGGGAATCAATTATCATCCAACATCCGAAAGAGTCAACTAAATTTCTGCTATTATCTGTCGGCATATAACTTGACTGGGTAATTTTTTGGATGATTGAGAAACACTATATATACATAAGATACACTACGTTAGTTTCTTATCAGTCATCCATTCACCCTCACTCGAACAGTCAGATTTACTGTAGAAATGGAATAAGCATCACTTCACTGATGTGGAACTTCTTGTACTTCGAGAAATTGAAGATAAATAATGCCACGGACATGTTGGTCGAGCTAAAGCTGAGAACTGGCCGAGTCTAGCACAAGAGGCTGCACTTTCTCTTCAAGAATTTTGGAGGATTTTGGTCTGGAGGGTGCATGAATTTGCAGTTAGGGCAGGCCGGAGATGACATACGTAGCATTACTAACATGTGGCACCGCATGCAAACAGTGGCAACCATCTCCCTGTGGTCTCCCTCCGCTGACATCCTCGACGAAGAAGAATGACTTATATCCCCTGAATCCTTCTTATGATCACTTGATTCAGTACCGTAAATATCATGAACTCTGAAACTTCTAGGTGGACCTGCATTCTGCTTCTTATTTATGCTGTAATTGTCTGCCTTGTTACCCTGTGATTGATCAAATGTCAAGTTCAGCTCAAGGTCTAAGCTTATTTGAGTAGAGGATGGGGGTGCAAGGCTATTCTTTGGGTCCTCTGGCGTGTTCATATTTATCCTTGGCTGCATTAAGAAGATCAAAGAGGTAAATTAATAATATGCATTATTTAGCTATGGATTCTAAAAAGTTTCACAATATATAAATACACACGTACACTGGGGTATAGCTGCTGATTATCTGATGTGGATTTCCTTTTCTCTGCCTCAGTTTGAGCGTTGAAAAACTCTACAGGAGATGATTCTTCCCTCTTTCTCCTCTTTGATGAAGCTTCAAGTTCTGCAGGGACTGCACTTCTCGGACTCTCGGCCAAGGCTTTGTGAAAAGAAACCATCACTTCCACTCAAGGTGCGTCTCAATGACCAAATGTTCACCAAAGTTTGAAGTGGTTATATAGGATAAGGATGGAGGTTCCACGAAAATTAAAGGACTTTGCCTGCCTAAGCATGACGTGGTTTTCCATGCTGGCACCCTTGTAGTAAATACACAGCACCGAGGCCTGAACTTAAAGTCCTAGACGTGAAATCCTAACCAAAGAACTAACTTGGGTCAAATCCTAATACTTGTCCTTTCAAACCTATAGAATCCATAACCCCACCGGAGTATCTAGCAGAAATAACCACCTAGTTTTGGTATGAATTAATGTGAATCCATGACGTACTATAAATCCAAGCCGAAAGGCGAAAGGTGAAGAGTAAGTATTGGTACTTTATGAAAGAGGGTGTGAGGCTGGGAGGTATGGCAAAGATTCATTAATATAAGGGGTCTGTGTACAGCTGAGGGAAGGTAGCGAAAGACAATGGCTCTTTAATGTTAGATATAATAACTCCATCGTCACCATTTGGGTCACTTAAACAACTAGACTCTTAAAAGCTCTCAACACCCTCTTGAGCCATTAAAATCAACCAAGTCCTAAGAGTTACCAAAAAAAGAGACCGGATAATTTATTGTTCCTTATTCTCTCTCCTAAATAAATATTTGAAACAACCACTCGCTAGCTCGCCTTAATTTCTTCAGCTGCACTTCATGCCCAACGATCCCCACTTCCTCCTAAAAACATCACAACTTAGCTTTTATGAGTCTCCTTCAAACAGCCACACAATTTACGACCCTGAAACCAGAAACACATAATGAGACGTGCAAGTGTGCGCGTATGTCTGCGAATGTGGTTGAATGTTACGAATTAAAACGCCGTGTAATAATAAGCCATCATGTCATCACCTGCAAAATTAATTGTGAAAATTACCCCTTCTCTCACAATTAATCAATTCGTACCATACTTTTCTTCCCTTGTAGAATTGCAAGACGTGATGAAATAGCCTGCAAAATATAAAAGGTTTGCGGGGAGTTTCTATCTATGACCAGCTTCTTAACTTGGAAAAGGACACCTGCTATATATTGCTGCATGGTCGGTCAGGCCTCCAGGTTTACTTTTAGCCAAATGTCACCAATCATAAAATTAATTTGATGAGCGACCGAAATGGACTTCATAACCAAATGAATTTTGCTGGTCATCAACAACAGACTGTTCTTTACCACAAGTGGAATTTCGCATTCAATTAATCTTTATTCATGTGTTCGTTCCTAAACCTGCTTTCTTTACTTATAATTGACGGAGAAAGAAAGAGATAAAAGAATAGAATCTGGCTTGAAAAATGTCACACTTATATATATATATATAGATGTATTCAAAGACTTTCTTTCTCATCAGTTAGTTTTTTCCTGTTAAAACCATGTGATTTAATATAAAAATGTACTAGTTGCTTTGGAATTTAGATTTGGAGAAAAATAATTTATCTGTCACCAATAGTAATAATTGGTGGATACATGGAGATCAGTATTACACATACTTCGAAGAAGGAAATGAATAAAGAGAAGCTGAAAAATAAATAGTCACCAACTATCAAGGTTTTATTAAATCTTCGATATAAAGTTCTTCTCCTTCTGTTTCGAACATTTTCTGAATATACTTCATCTTTCATAATACGAGATGTTTTGAAAGAGATAACGATTTATTAATGAGATTCAATTTATTCGCAGTTTACTCCAAAAAATGTCCTATAAATCAAAGCGGATGGAGTTATACTTTGCATTTAATATCAATTAAAGATAAACGTAGAAAACTAATAGTGTGTTTAAAATCAGGTAATTTATGAGAAATACCTGAGATGATTCAAATTTAAGGAAGGAGGCCAACTTCCATGAGACCATTAAAGTGATAGGAAGAGAGATGGGGGGAGGGTTGGATTTGAAGGAAGGCCACCTGCCTTCATTAAATCACTTTGAATGCAGACTTGAATAAGTGACCAAACTTTAAACCACCCCTTCCCGCACTCTCTGATCTCCCTTCCATTGCTTTGCCTTTCTTCCCCACTTAGCCTCTCCACACCTTCAAATGCCCCCAACGCACTCATTTATGTTCCTCTGATCCCTTTCTTCCACTTCCACTCACTCCTCAACACATTATCACAGTCTGTCAGATTTCATGCTTATTTCTCCTGCACCGCAGTTCACCACCCCTTCACAATTATCTCTTAATCTTGCGTGTCAGAAGGGCTTAAATATAATTGACCTTTCATGAATTTATCGTGCCAGGGTCTCTGTCCGATTTAGTATTTGTTTTGATGATGAAGATGTGTATCTATATATCAGTATGCTTGTCTGTATGTCCAGGCATTAATATGTTATTCCATAACGCACATGTATGTAATAGCAGCGGAGCGTAGTGTCTTCGAAGAAACTAGTGTAATTAAAATTGGGAACACGAAGCGGATCCCTGTCGTTTTTATGGTTTTTAAAGTGCTTTGCGAGGCTAAACTTGATAAAGAGCATATGTTGGGGGTTTAGGACGACCGTTAAACTAAAATATAACAGCTCCGATGTGATTCAGCGTATTATTACTAATACTTGTTCATATACAACCAACAAGCCCCTGATCAAACTAGTAAAAAGTTTGTCTAGCTCAACTAGTAGTCTCGTGTTCAAGCCTTAAAGATGCAATTACGTTGAAACTTGTTGGGAGAATCTGCTTCCTACTAGTAGTCGTACAAAACTTGATCCGGATCAATCAGTTACTCAAATACCTAGTGATATGATCCAAATTAAGTGTTGGATATCGGGCGGCCCAAAAAATACTTGTTCATGTATGAACAGTGTTATGCGTGAGTTGACGAAAAGCTCGAAGATAAGAAGTTGCAGAATCCTTCGTAACTTCATTTTTAGACAGTAAGATGTACTATTCTCTCTGAAACAAAGATCCATTTCATTATTACTAATTAATAGCAGAGTTAGGGAGGAGTTGGTTAGCTAGGGAGCTAAATGAAAAGGCGCGTATTAAATTATGGCATGCAAAAATGAAGCAGTAGCAGAGAAGGGCGTGGGACGGATAGGATTGGAATATCAAAAGAATGAATGAAACTAATCAGTTTGGGGTTCAACATGCGCAAATTCTATTTGGTGCATGACTATCATGAGGAATGAGAAGCATCAATTAGTGTCCCACCTTTTCTGTTGCTGAGTAAATACTTGCGTGCCTTGGACGCTTCCTCAATTCGTGGTCACTTTGGTTGGTTTTTTTTGGTACAACACTTTGGTCGGTTTGACTAAATGCAAACTGGGAATGATTCTGATTAATAATATTATAATAATAAGGCCCAAGACATAAGTTTCAGTATTTAACGAGACCATATTAGTGCGTATTTGTCCAAGGGGCTGAACTCCGTCAGTGTCATCATAAAGGCTGCATATTAGAAGTGGGTAGTTGGAAACTTAAGTGTCCATGAGGGATAAAGATTAGAAAGTGATTAAAAAAATATGTTAAAAAACTATTTAGTACGAGTGATTACTTATTATTTAGAATTAATAAATCTGTATATGTGAAATTTTAAAATACTATAGGGAGAGATGCTATTCTCTAATCCCACCTATAGAAAATTTTCTAATCCCATATAATAAAAAATTACTTATACTTAACACTCTTTAATAGTTTTTTTCAAGTCCAATCATAATTATTACCTTTCATTTTTAATGCTTTGTATCGGGACTAGAGAGTGTGGCTAAAACTTGTGCCTTGTTTTAGTATTGTACTGCTTACTTGTCGTAGGTGACTTTGGTCACAAAAATTAAATGGGCATCGCACAGCTCAAATATGCCTTACAATAACCAATACACTACCTCTGGTTTTTAATATAAAATCTCATTTGATTTTTATTTTGATTCTAAATATGAGACTCCGATTTACTTTATCTTTTATATTTATGTATTTTTTTTCAAGATAGTCCTTCTAATAATAGTAGTTCTAGCCAATACATTTGATTAATAATGATATTTTAGGAAAGACAACACCTATTTATTACAAACAACTAGCTTAACTTATTCTTTTAATCTACTCAAATTAGTTAACTAGTTCTTATAATTAGGAACAGAGGAAGAGGTATATATATACTTGGGTTCAAGCCCTGATCACTTCTTTTGCTGCTACACCAAGCCTCCGACTATCGGCTTGGGATTTTCAGCACTAAGTCTAAGGGGGTGTTTGGGCATTAAAAAGTGCTTTGAGAAGCACTTTTTTCACAAATCGAGATAAATTCCTCCACATATTTACTTCGTATACCGTAAAAGTATATTTAAAACATGATTTTAATTCTATGCAAACACCCCTTATGTTCATCACACTGCCCTTTCCATCAAGGGTATTACCACTATGTTCATTACACTGCCCTTTCCATCACAACAAAATGACCATTATACCCCTGAAGGATGCTGTTCCAGAGTGGGAGGACTTCTCCGTTTCCTCCAGTCCTATGGCCTTTGCTTCTTTTTTTTTTTGGGGGGGGGGGGTGGGTACAACCCTACCATTCTCCGGCTTTTGAGGTCATATCATATATCTGGTTATGGTGTCAACTTGGACCGTTGTCCGAGATTAGTAATTAGGCCTGCTTTTTCAGCACATCTGGTCCAACCCACGCCTGTGGCCCAGTCTTTGTGCGATTATTTTTAAAATTTTGAAGAATTTTTTTTTTTTCAATAAATACAAGTATTCTCTTACCAAAGGCAATTCAACCCACGTCTTCTTTTGTTGGTGATAGATATGAATTTTCAAATTTTTGAGTTCTTCAAAATTAACCAATGCCTTTGGTAGGAGAATACATGCGACTAGCATAGAAATTTTATCCGTTCCCAACACACACACATACACGCTAATTAGATGGATCACCACAATAGCCGTAAGGCCGGCAATCTGGCCTGACGTTACTTCTAGGGACGAAAAGCATAAAACTGGGCCAAGGAGCCTGCTAAGAAAGACAAAGGTCCGTGCTCATATATTGCTCTTGGAGACTTTGCAACAAAGGCGACGTGGTGCAAACCAAAAATCACTGGTCTTTATAAAAATAAACACATAGAAGATTCGAGTTTCTTATGCAATTCAATATCAAATCAAGGAACTAAAAGTTATGAATAATTATTTTCTATATTAATTATGATTTAGTATGATTTATATCATTTATGCTTACCGACTTTGAAGTACTGCATCCTCATAAATTCAAGTTTTTTATATTTGCAACCAATCATGTTTAAAGTTCAAAAAAGGGACCATTAGGACGCTGAGTTTTTTTTAAATAGTTATAATTTATGTCGAATCTTGAACAAATAATTTGCTAACAACTAAAGGAAATGAAATCTTTCAATGTGCATCCATACGATACTTTAATGGGATGTAAACATGAAATCATTTGTGTCACTACATCATTATCACCATCTTCAAAATAATATCAAGATCAAACGGCCTAAATTTTTGAAAGAGTCTATGAAAAAAAGGATGTGTTGCGGTTTTCACACAACCGGCCTCAAATACCTTAAATAAGATTGCTTTTAATAAAAAGACACTTACAAACAGTGAACAAAGATAAAATTTATATAATGTATACACAACTCGTAACTGCTATAGCATCGGAAGAGTAAAATCTTCGATATTATTAGTCTCAAAGTATAGTAATTAAAAGTTCAGGTCTGTGAAAGATTATTCTGGTCATCACGTTTAGCAACAAAGCGATGCCAGAGCCAGTGTTTCCTCCAGATTGCATGCATGGATTCGAGAGGAATTCCTTTGGTCTCCGGCAAACAAAGCACAATAAAGACGGTCATCAGAGCAATCCAAGCCGCAAAGAACAAGAAAGCACCATATTTAAATCGACACAACATGCTCAAGAATGTCTGTGACAAGACGAACGTGGTCAAGAAGTTGACGGCAATGCTTATGCTCTGTCCGGTGGTTCTGATCTTCAGTGGGAAGATCTCACTGGGAATGAGCCAGCTCAGAGGCCCCCACGACCACCC